TCTCTAGTAGAAGTGCAAATGGAAAGTCTTTTCATTTATTATTGTCTACATGGGAAAGTTTTACTCGTTCCAGCACTGCAGTTCTGTAGGTGTTGGAAGAGCCTCTGTCTTGATGTTTTAGTATAAAAATGGTTTCCTTTAGTCTATCTCAATCCAATTACAAGCAGACCTTAATTAAACCAACATAAGGCAGATTTGTACTGAGACGTCCATAAGAAATGTTTCTCCTAATCAAAATAAAAACAGTTCTAGAGTGATAGCTGGTTAAACTGGGTCACTTCTCCTATACAGGCCTGACTTTGTACATTGTTCTCAATGGTTATTGGCAGATTTGGTGGACAAGGCAGCGTAACCTGCTTGAGTGATTCACAGAATCGCAGAATGGTTGAGGTTCCTCCAGGTTCAAATCAGAGCACACTACAAGGTTGACAGAGGCAGAAGTGGGAATGAGAGTGAACAATCCCCGGCCATGATGTTGCTATTTCTTGGGGCAAAGGACAGGAGCTTCCAGGAATCTTCAATGTGCAAACGTGAAAGTAATATTAATCCCTGAAGAGCAGCACCTGTACAGTCCTAAAGCACATGTGGTTCACAAGAATATTCCTCCAGGCCATAGCAGGAATTTCAGCCCCTTCTTTGGTATGACAGAGAGTATTCGGATTTGATCCTGGGTTCGCAGAAACTGCCAGGACTGAACAGTCAGTTGCCTGGAGCCATTCATAAGAAATGGAAAGCAAAAGGGAACGCAGGCCTGTGCAGTTCCCCCTCCCCTTTGCCCAAACTGTGGTTCCCTTAAACTCGATGGCCCTTTCTCCCGGTTGATTACGTGAGCCTGCTCCGCTCACGCGTTCCCCACTGCTCGGGCTCAGCGCGGCCGCTCCCTCGCGCCCGTTGCGTCGGCCGCTCCCTCGCGCGCCGCTAACTTGCTCTTGGTGTGTGTGTGTGCCGCAGGGAGCCGCGAGACCGCCTTCACGTACGCCGTGAGCGCCGCCGGCGTGGTGAACGCCATCAGCCGCGCGTGCCGCGAGGGAGAGCTCTCCAGCTGCGGCTGCAGCCGCACGGCCCGCCCCAAGGACTTGCCTCGCGACTGGCTCTGGGGCGGCTGCGGCGATAACGTGGAGTACGGCTATCGCTTCGCCAAGGAGTTCGTGGACGCCAAGGAGAGGGAGAAGAACTACGTGAGAGGGTCGGAGGAGCAGGCTCGCATGCTGATGAACTTGCAGAACAACGAGGCTGGTCGCAGGGTAAGAAAGAGGAATGCTGACCCCGCGCTGTTTCTCAGAGGCAGATTTTGAGCTCAGGATATAGTGGGCTAGCAAATTGCCTGGAGATTTGATAAGGGATAGCGCAACAGTGCCCCTGTAATGCCCTTGAAAGGGCATACAGTCACTTTGGGCCCATTCCTCTGATTATAGACGGTCTTATATTCTAGTCTGGCCATGGAGGGCAGCCATCAAGGTAAGGCCAGCGAGCTTATGGGCCGGTTGAAATGCTTCATGGCACACGTGCATGTGAGCCCTTACCAAATCAATCTGGTGCGGACGTGGCCCGCTTGCAAAGTTTATGTCTCCAAAACTGCTTCCCAGAGTCTCCAGAGTGACAAGGTGGTGGTGAACAGGACAGCCTGTCGGCTCGTGGAGTTCTTTTTTTCCTGGCGTTGTTCAGATTCTTGGGAATGAAAGGCCAAAACCAAACATAGAATCAGACTGTCTGGCTATCGCTGAAATTTACACCCGGCTCAGCTACCCTGGTTCTGGGCCAAATAATTTGCATTTAGGCAACAGACGTTTTCTGAAACGATACCGAGTTTTGATCTGCAGAAACCTAGAGATGGGGTATCCATCACTCTCCTTTGTAGTATGTTACCATCATTAATCACCCTCACTGCTGTAACATTGGGCCTCATTTATCATTTGGATTTATCTGGCATCAGCTTCCAGCTGGTTCTTTTTCTGACTTTTACAGCTAGATTGAAAAGCCCCACAGTAACCAGAATTTCCTATCCATGGAAGTATTTATATACTGCAATTTTTTCACCATTCTTTTTTTGACAACTAGATTGAGAACTTAAGTCTCTCTTGCTCTCAGACATTTTCTTCAGCCATCAAATCATATTTGTGTCACTTCAGTGTACCCTTCCCAGTTTTCCTGTATCCTTTAGGAAAGCAGATTCCACAGTTACCTGCAGGATCCTGATACTGGTCCCTCTGAAGCCATAAACATAGGTGAAGTTGTCCCCTTCGTATACATTCAGTGTGCATGTCTAATTCTCACTCCGTTCCTGTATCTGTGACTAGGCAACTTGGAAGGTGTTTGGCATCCTGACATGGCAGGACTGCTCAATTGGCATCTTTCCAAACGTAGAACAGAAGCACTTTACTGAACATTTTTCACTTTCTCTACAAGGTGTTCAAGAATTTTATTGTTGCTGCCTAGTAGTTTGCATTTCTAAGGTTTATTTTATTTCTAATGCTACAAAAAATCTTATTAAATTATCTTAGCCTTTCTTTTTGGTACATTCTTCACTAATATCCTTAGTATCCTTAATAGCCTTTCTAATTTTAACGTATAGTTTCAGCTTCGTTTTGCCACCAGAGAAGACTTTTTTTTTCTTTTTTTGTGTGTGTGAAATCAGTATATCTCAGGTGAAGCTTTGCAAATGCTTCATACTTTTTTTTTTTTTTTAAACTCAATAGGGGTAATTTTGCAGTTGGGTGGAAAATAGTGGGCTTGGCAGCTCTGGAACTCGGTGTTTTGGGTATGTTTTTTGTTTTCTTTTTTAATCTTGGGATGGCAAAGAAACTGAAGTTATAACGGTCCTTGCTTTGGAAGGGGCTTCGATTCCTCTGTGGAAGAGCAGCGTAAAAGTGAGGTTCTTCTCTGCAACACTTAGACTTAACATCATGTATGTCTGGAGTCATGAACTTGCATTACTACAAATGAATATTCTGCCTAAAACAGGGAGTGCATGGCTTATGAGACCTTTTAAAAACAAGTCCTGTTGCCTTGAAAGAAGCAGACCAAACAAATGGCCAGTAGGTTGAGAGGCTGGCTCGACTGTAATAACATCTGTATTAGAAGTTAAATAGGAAGGCACTAGCTTCTCAGCATGGGCAAAATGCCTCTGCCTTGCTACACCTGTCTTGTTTTAGGGGCAAGAATCTAACTGAGCTGTGACTTCAAATGATGATACAATTTTAGTCAGAAGAAAGTTCAGTCCCGTTCAGGAATACAGCTTAAAACAGTTATGTCTTACCTTTATGACAAGGTAGAAACTTGTTTAAACTCTCTATGGGCAGCTCTAGCTCACAGGCTTCCTTGGGCTCTGCAGACAAGACTCTCCAGGCTGCGTCTCCAGTGAGTGTAAGAAAAGACCTGCACGAAAGTTTTTCTTAGAGTCTAACAAGAGGTAATGTTATTTTAGGCTTGTTTTGGTAAATAGTTAGGGCTCTGTAAAATGTGGCCATAGAAAATAATCTTAGATTAAATGAACACAAATCATTTTAGATTAAATGAAATAGAAGTATAAACAGTTTTGTAATTAAGCTTGTGGTGTTCAAAGAACAGACTGATAAACTAAGGGAACCAGTTAGTAAACTCAGCTGTGGAGGAGGTCTGGAACTTTTTCAAGTCAAAGATGCTAAAGCCATTACAATTCTGCATGCCAAGCAAGAGGAAAAAGCTTGTAGGAAGAATCTCCAGACCTCACTGAATGAATAACTACCACAAAGAAGCTGTTAGGACTAGCCTGAGAGTCTACTAAGAATGCAAAAAAAAAAAAAAAAAAAAAGGACTTGATAGCAAATAAATAAAGAGAAGCACTGTCTTAGAGGTCAAGAAGTGTAAAGATGAAGTGAGAACAGTATAAAAAATCAAGTTGAGTCAAACCTTGCAAAGGTAAAACAGTGAAATGTTCTTATATGAAGCAAATAAGAAGATAACAGGAGAAAAGAGGCTGCTATGGGTTGGGGCTGAGTCTAAAGACAGCAGCTTTGGTCCCTAAGGTGAATACTTTACCTCAGGTTTCAAGTCAGAATGAAGGCATTGCTCACGGGGATGGATACTCTATGTCTGCTTCATTGGAGATGTCTTTTTCTGATCTCAAGATGCCTGCCTGAGGGAATAAGTGTTCACAGAGTGATTTTTTTATGTGCCCCTGGGATTGTGCTTTTCAGGGAAATCCAGGGAGGGCACCCAAGGGGTAGGAAAGGTCTAGGACAGTCAGTGGTGGCTGACTGGCACCTGTGGGAGTGAGGAAGGCATGAGGAGGCAGCGCTCGTGTTGGGTGAGGGAAGGGAGAGGAAATGGAGCAGAGCAGCAAGCACTGAAGCTCACAATTGGAAGATCTGGAGGTGGGGTGATGGATCAGGGGGGCAGAAGAAGAGGAGTTTAGGACTGAAGGATTCAGAGTGTAGGAAATGGGAGGCCAGTGGCAACAAGAGACTGGAAGAACAAAGGGTTCTGGAGTAAACAAGAATGGGTTTTGGGGTAGATTGGGAGGATGAGGATTTGGAGGTAGTGGGGAATGGAGGTACTGGACTCAAGAAAGGAGATGACCGTGAATGGATCGGGAGTGTGGGTCTGAGGTATCTTGGAGGTATCTGGTTGGTATGGTGTTTGGCCAATACAGGACAGCCTTTTCTCTTGGCTGTTGGAATTATAGGAGCAAAATTGAACATTACAGAGCGAGAAAAGCAGCAAATTTCCAGAAATGGAAACTACCACCACTAAGGTGGAAGCAAAACACAGCAAAGCTTCAAGTCCTGAAGTCATGGGGAGTATTCACGTTTCCTCCCAACACTCCGAAAGAGCTGGCAGCACAGGCAGCGTGACCATGGCAGCGTGCACAGGCGGGCTGGAGGGAAAAGGCAGCACAGAGGAAGTGGCAAAAAGAGGCATGATTCAACGTGTGTTTCTGAAGGGATGATCATACAAAGCTGACTCATGAGTTTTCTTTTAAGACATTACTAAAGGACAAAATAGATTTGATAGATCTCATCCATTTAAACTTGTGTAAGACATTTCTTGTCTTTTCCATGTGGGAAACAGTTAAATTGAGAAAGATAAGGAAAAGTACAGCAGTTATGAGATGGATGAGAAACTTTTCATGGGAAGATGTCAGCAAGTTGTGCGAAAGGGGTTGTTTTGATCTAGAGGGTGCTTAATTAGCAGAGTTCTTTAAGGACTGGCCTCAAGACCAACACTTAACGCTTTTGTTTATGAGCCTTGCCATAAATATTAGGAATGTGCTGATGAAATTTGCTGCTGATGCAAAGTGAGCAGGCGTCACAAACATAGAAGAGGTTCTGGATTTTGTCTGTCAGCTAATTTTGACTGTAGTAGTCAAGAAAAGGGCGACATTCAATAAAACAACATTAAGACCATCATTTGAGGTCTTGTACGGAAACCACTTTTAGGCATTAAGAAACCAGTAGAAAACAAAATCAAGTGCAGTCAGCTGCAGATGGCTGCAGATGTAATGCGGATGTGAAAGTGGCAAATATCCTAGGATGTGTTAAGGAAAGTATTTAAAGAGACACGGGAAATATTAATACTATTGTATTAAGCTTTGAAGTATTGTGTACTGTTATATTCCCAGCAGAATGACCTCTGCCTAGAAAAGCACTGTTACAGGTGATCCAAGGGGTAGGAATCTTCTCCTAGGAAAACACACTAGGATAGCTTGCTGTGTTTGGCCTAGCAAAGTGAAAGCTGAGAGAGGGTATGACTGATGTCTATGTTAGTGGGATGAATAGCAGGGAAGGAAAAGTACTTTTTAAGCAAAAGGCCAATTTGGCACAAGAGCAAATGGCTAAACTGAGTGAATACATTTAGCCTGGAAATTAGAAAAAAAAGATACTTTATCATTGGAATGGTGATGAGAATAATGGTGGCTAAAAACCTAATTGCTTTTAAAAGGCCACTCAATATTTTTAAGAAAAATATTATTTGAAGTGGTGCCCACAATAGCAGGAGATCGTACTTAATAATAACCCTGGAGGTTCCATCTAGTCCTGCCTTCCTAGATGTTAAGTTTTCCCTTCTGAGATTCTGCTTTGGGAAGTTGGAAGGTTCCTATGTAACACCATATTCCTGAAAGCTGGTTCTGAAAGAAAAGTGGAAAGCAGAGAGGAACTAGAGACACGGCAGCCCACACAGCCTGCCCCCTGGTTCCAAGCCAGCACTGTCTTCTGATTTCTAGGCAGATTTTTGCCATGTCTCCCCAGTTTCCTCTAGGTGAGGAAGCCTTCCTTCAAGCCTGAGGAGCTCTCATGGTGGGAGGGGAATTTGTCCACGTTCTCCATGAGGAACGGGAGCAGAACAAAGCTCTTTTAATCTTTGAGTCAGCCTGACCTTCCATTACCTCTTCACTCCGCTTCGGAGTCCTCCTCCTGGTAGTGGCTCTGGCTTTATGGCCTTTGTTTGTTTGCCTTTGGCTGTTATCTCAATATGCCCTTTCCTTCCATCTGTCTTTTCTTCCAATTGCTCTCCATTACCCTCTCAGATTTCCCGCCTCGTTCCTTATGTGTCGCCGTGTCTGGCAGCCCGTGGCAGTCGGTCCCTCCGCACTGTTCACCCAGTCAGCATATGGCAGGACTCCGTCACCAGTCACTCCGTCCGGGGCCAGAAGAGGCTGGAAGAGGGTCCGGCTAATTGACCACACAGGAATTCACTGATAATTCCCTTCTCGTTCCCATTCTTGTGAGGAAAGAGTTGGAAGAGAACTTGGGCTTATGGAAGAGGGCTCTAAGCTTTCCATTAGAGGTATTTTCAACCTGTTTAAGTGGCATGGCCATCGATCAGACCCTGCCTTCAGAACTACATGTGGGGTCTGTTATTCTTTACCTTGACCCCAGCTCAGTCAGAAAGGAATTCTCCAATTTCCTCTACTTTCTCCCCACCCGGGCAGCTCAGGGAGAGGAGCGGGAGAGCCGCTTTGAGAGCGGAGCTGCCGCAGCACCCACGGCGGTGCCGGGCCTACCTGCGATAAGTGGTAGCGCTCCCACCCCCGGCACGGCTCCTGCCCACGCGGGCCAGATGTTTTGAGCATCAGTTGCTTTAAGCCAAGTCAGAGTAAACTCAGTCCCCTGACACTAGCTGAGAGGGATTGAGTTGCAGTGTTTTTCTAAAGGAACAAAGCCTGGGATTAGGAAGAGCCATAATACTTTATAAAAACACATGCAAGGGCAAGGGAGGCATGAGTGGCCTGGGATTTGACAGAACCATAACCAAGGAGTGCTAACACAAGCGTCTAAGCAGCAGCGTGGCGAGGCTGTAGCGTGTGTCTGGGGCTTGGGACGTGCAGCCGTAGTTCAGTCTGGTGGCAGCGCAGCAGGGGTCACAAGGAACGGCGTGGCCGGTCCTCCGCAGGTAGCGCTCAGCCCGCGGCAGCGCTGCGCTGCGCTGCGAGGGGTGGCCGCGGTACCCAGCGCACAGGAGCAGAGCTGACGCTGCTCTGTTTCATGGACTCGGTGACTTTCTTGGGAGCCGGCTCGGCCTCCGCGTGGCTGAGCAGTTAAGCCACACGGAAGCTTCACTAGCTGTCAGAAGCACAAGCTGGTAACTATACCAGTATCCCTTTTTTTTTGTAAGGAAGATTCTGACCTCTCTCTGCTGGTTTAGGCCATCATTGTATGCAGACTGCTTTCTCTGCAGTATGTGAAATTGCCCTCATCACCTACCCCTTGGCAAGTAATTGCAGAGTTGGGAAACTATTCCATGCCAGTAAGCAAAGCAGAGAAGTAACCTCAGTGTCTGGCTGCTTTCTTGAGCATAAAACCTGGCTAGAAGACATATTTTGCCATCTCTCTCAGAACATCCTATTTTCTCCCCCATTCTATGATCTCCCACACCAGATACAGCTGGTGGTAATTTTGCAGCTGAAGCCAAATAGCTGTAATTGGCATGTGGGATCTGGCAGAGGCAGTGCCCTGCAAATGTGCAGGATGCAGCGCGGTTGTGCGAGAACAGATGTGAGCCTCATACTTAATGCATGAGAGTTCTGGAAGTAAAATACTGTAACACTTAGTAGCTCTGATTTAATGTGGATGCCAGCTCTTCACTTTGTAAACTTTATTAAGTTCCTGTTAGCGCTGACAGGATCTCACATAGTCTGCAATTTTGTACCTATATTTGAAATTAATGGAAAGAACAAACCCAACATGCATTTCAGTTTATTTTCATAGGTTTTGGGCTTTGTTATTCTAGAGTATTTTCTAATCTCTCTCTCCTGATAGCTGGGAGGGGAGTGGATGACCCTTGTTCTATATATCACTGACTTGCTCTTTCAAGGCCTAAATTTTCAGTATTATTTGTTAATTTTGGTTTCCAAACTTTCAGAATGCCACATTTTCAGACGCACAATTCATTTTTAGACCCCATGAACTTCTAAAAATGTAGTTTAAAGTATCTCAGAAAAGACAGCACTGAAAAAAATGCATTTGATTTTTAAAAAGTAGGCCTTTTCCATAGCTGCAGTAACTCTAGAGCAATGAGATATCTGGACGCAAGAGGGCGCACATTTGCAGTTTGGGCTTGCAAATTTGCTCTTCAAATGCTGAGACCGGTAACACATTGAGAAGATGTGAGCTGTTCTGTTTCAGTGTAAAGGTGTTAATCTTTCACACTGCTACTACCGTCTCTGCTTGTTCTTCTTTGGAAAACAGTGACTCCTCGGAAAGCTGTAGGTGAACAAGATCCATAGCAGAGACAGCAGGAAAGGGTGTGGATCCATGAATTTATTTCCAAAGGATACAGAAGTATTCTTAGAGCTGTAGCGTCATTTACTGCTTTAACTGATAGCAAACTATCAAGTTCCCAAGTGTTCTCTTTTAAGACCTTTGACAGGAAAGAGATACAATATGTGGTGGTGCATGAGGGTGGGAGCATTTCCAGAAGTGTCTCACAAGGTGAGGGCTCTTTTTCCTCATTGCTTCCCGTTCTTGACCCTGCCATCAGGTCAGAGATCTGCTGAAGGAAGAGGGGGAGGAGTGAGGAAGGCATGTTTAGAGGGAATGTGAGCAGCCTAGAAATACTCAGGAGACAAGGGAGCCGCAGTTGCCACGGGCGGAAGAGGAGATTTTTGCCTCTTATGAAGGAAGAAACAACAGAAAGTGGGAGATAATCAAAGCAGTTAGAAAAATGTGAAGAATTGATTGTAATTAGGCCGCCTGCCAGTTGTGGCAGGAGTAAGAGCAGCTTTGCCTGATCCCGCTCCCTCTCCCACAGGCCGTGTACAAGCTGGCGGACGTGGCCTGCAAGTGCCACGGCGTGTCGGGCTCCTGCAGCCTCAAGACGTGCTGGCTGCAGCTGGCCGACTTCCGCAAGGTGGGCGACCTGCTCAAGGAGAAGTACGACAGCGCCGCCGCCATGAGGATCAGCCGCAAGGGCAAGCTGGAGCTGGTCAACAACCGCTTCAACATGCCCACGCAGGAGGACCTGGTCTACGTTGACCCGAGCCCGGACTATTGCCTGCGCAACGAGACCACGGGCTCGCTGGGCACCCAGGGCCGGCTGTGCAACAAGACCTCGGAGGGCATGGATGGATGTGAGCTGATGTGCTGCGGCCGGGGCTACGACCAGTTCAAGAGCGTCCAGGTGGAGCGTTGCCACTGCAAGTTCCACTGGTGCTGTTACGTCAAGTGTAAAAAGTGCACAGAGATCGTTGACCAGTACGTCTGTAAATGAGAAGAGCCACCAAAGCGACAAATCTATATTATATAAATCTATATAAATATATTTTATATTTGTATAAATAAACAGATGATGATAATAATTAAAGAAGCTTATTTAAGAGACATTCTGGTTTTGAAGTTTCCCCCCATCAGACTGCCTGGTTTGCCATTCCCTTGGTTCTGCTGGAACGATTTGTCCTCATGGGCATCTCCCCTTGGGTGCTTCTCAGGCAGGCAGAAGGGGCCTAGGGAGGTGCTGACCAGAAGAAGGGCCACAGCACACAGGCACACGCATGTACACATCCCTCCTGACAGAAGCAAGGCGGTGGAGGAGGGTGGGTTCTTTCTGCTGTGTCGCCATGAAATGTCTGCATTTTGCATAGTATTGGACACCAGAAATCACAGTGAGGCATGGGAGAGCCCTTGTTACTCGCGTTTCGGACGGCACCACCCCATTAAACGCACTGGGGGCCTTGGAAGCAGTTTGCGGTGCCTCTTAAGGGCTTTGTCACACTAGAGGGCGAGTAGCCAAGTCTCGTGGACGAGAATATGGCTTAGAATTGAGAGTGCCGAATGAAGCCGTGCCTGGAGCCTGGCGAGAGCAGCTGGGCCATCGAGGTGCTAGGTTTGCCGAGGAGGAGGAGGACGAGGAGGAGGCGGCAAGTGTGACCGGAGGCTGGGAATGCCCTGTTCCCAGCCCCTGGGAAGGAGGCAGCGTCCCGCTCCTCTGCACTACCCGGACGGAGGGGAGTCTGTCGTCTGTCGCGGCGCGGTCTTTGTGGATACATGGGTGAGGGAGATTTATTTTTTTCTTTTCAACTCTGTATCAAACCTTGTCACAGTAGAGGAGAAGCTGCCTGTGCCCTGAGGGGTTTGCTGAAGAAATAGGCTTCATGTTTTTGCCGGTAGGCGGGAGTTTTGCACGCGTACACACGCACGTGGCTGCGTAAGTGCTCCTCATCCTGCTGCCATTTCTCCTCTTTGAAGTGGATGCAGGTGGTCACTTCGTTCAGTGCTGTTAAATCCTTCTCACCACCATCCCAGATGTACAGTTTCTCTTTAACATTAAACACCCCTCACGGAGGTTTCTTGCCCTTGCTTGCTTGTGTATATGCGTGTTTTTATTCTTTTCTGGGGGTCTTTTCTTTTGCAGCTTGGTATTTCAGAGCCCAGAAGCCATACTGTTCCCGGGCGTAAACTCACCACAGATAAATTTGTTCCCAGAATATGGACAAATGCTCACTAATGGAAGTCTTTTCTGTTTTCCATTGGTAATAAAAGACTGTAATGAAATTGCAGTAGGGCAGAAGCTGTTACCAAAGTCTGCTAATCAGTCTTACCACTTCGGAATTTTAGCAGAATCCAATTCATAAAACAGGGAACAAATGCTGTTTCTAGCACAAGACATTTCCTGTGCCTCTAAGCATCTGCAGAGTTCATTTGCAGTCAGAGAACAATCAAGAGACACCAGTCCCAAAATACAAGGGTTTGTTAATATACATCCTCTTTCTTACTAACATTTCATTTTTTTTTACTATAAATTTTAAAATGTGCAAAATATGCCAATAAGTAAAGAGCAAGCCACGACGATTATTATTTTTATATTAAACCTGTTTCTTATAAAACATAGCAGTTTTACAGATTCCACCATTTCAACCACCAAAGAAGAATTTATATGTACCTTTCATACTTCAAATATTTGAGGAGTCCAGAAAAGCATAAGGAAGAAAAATTATGTTTAATAATTAGGAGCTGTTGTTTTTTTAAAACCAATGCATCCAGTTTTTATTTTATTTTTTTTAATCCAACAGGCAATATATTTGCTGGCATCCCAGAATGCAGTTTCTTGGAATATAAACAGTGGCCTAGATTTATTTTATTATAGAAAATCCAAAGGCAGTGGTATTGTAATTCAAAGTAACGGAAATAGTTTTCCATGCATGGAAAAAATGTGAGCGCAATGGCCTGATCCAACTCCCATTAAACTTCAGTGGGAGCTGGACTGAGCCCAAGATCAGATCAAATGTGTGAGCTATTCACTCCTGGGGTACTATACATTTCTAGCCCAGCAATAAAACTTACTCTACCTTGGATACATCTAAAAAGACCTTTCCTCCCACGACCCTCACCTCATGTTCCTGTCCATCTCGATTACATCAGTACTTAAAGGTGTCAGATACTTGTATATGACACCCTTAGGTGTTGTTAATATGTCTCATAATTCAAAATGATTTCATTTTGGCCTTCCCAATAAAGACCACACATTTAAGAGAGTCTCAGCTCTCCTTGCAGTTTGGCACCACGATTCATTTTGTGGGTGTAAACAACGTTGGGAGCGGGAAAGTCGGCATTGTTAGGGCCACTATTCATCTGGGTGTCCCCTGGCTGTGTCCTTTTTCCACCTAAAATTTTGTCTGGATCAAAATAAGATGATTTTGGCTTTTTGTCCCAGAACTCCAGACCTCTGGCAGCCTGGTTGGAGCCAGTAGTTCCTATTGGACTGGGACCATGTAGTGATATGAGGGAAGTGACCACTGGATCACTTTCTCCTCCCCCATGCTCCCTGCCCTTCCCCTTTTTCACAAGGCCTTAGTTGCAGCCCTCTCGACTTTCTGTAACTTTCACATCCAGAAATTTGATTCCGCTAAGCTCTAGCTTAATTTATACGGTGCCCATGCATAGAAGACCCCCTTTAAGATGGTAGTAAGTAGAAAATAAGCCAGCACAGAAAATAAGTAAGCACAGTGAGTTTGGTTTGATGCAAAGCCAAAGAAAGTCAAACGTAAAACCAGAGATGAACTGCTCCTTCACCATGAAAACTGGAGAGCAGTGGATTTTGCATATGGTGAGATGGACGAAGGGGTACAGGTCTCCTGGAGGCTGGTTAAACTCAATTCTCAGCTCTGTCAATGACCTGCTTTGTAATCTTCCACAAGGTACTGCATTTCTTTGCACTTTAGTCTCCAGTCTCCTCCTATGCAAAATGAAGAGCAGGATGCCACCGTTTTCTTTGAGAAATACAGAAGAATAAATGTAACGAAAGGCCCCCTGTGAGGCACTCTCACAGTGAGACAGCTGTGTCTGCTCTCTGCTGTGATACACTCCGTTCAGGACAAGAGGCCCAGGGCAGCCCTGGCTCAGGTGCCCCAAGGTAGCTGTGTAGAGGCTCGGCAGGAGCTTGGGGCTCTTGCACAACCCTCCTTGTCTGGCCCAGGACTGGGAGGAACATTGTTCTCCCAAAGAAAGGTGAAATTTGGGACTTGTTTATTTATGGCCATTGAATATCTTGTAGTAGAGTAAGGCTTGGGAAAGTTAACCTGGTTTCTGAATCAAATGCTTGCCTGCCTAAATTCTATCTGCAGTTTCGTATGGCTGAGATATTCACACAACACTCTCCTATACAGTGTGGGCTGGTAACTGCCTGCCCCATTCCAGGCCTGAAGTCGCTGCACTTCCTGGCTGATGGAAATGACCGCCCCTAAGTCATGTAAAACCGAAGTATTTCAGAACTTAAGGCACTGTGCAAATATATGGCTCTTACAAGTCAGTGAACATCAGCTCCTAAACGAAGCCGATCAGGATGCGAGGCTGTCCTCATTTTCCAGCTGGTTAGCAATATATGTCATACACTGAATGAGTCCGTAATATGTTCTAGTGCAAGGTCTGCTAAAGAGGAGCTGATGCCAGAAAAAGCAGAAACCTTCATTTTATATTAATTGTGGTAAAAAGATAGTGATGGTGTCGTGAGAAAATTCAAGCTGAGAGAAAATGTAAGTGAAAAATTAAGTCGTGCACTGGACTAGAAGGTCGGCTCTGCTGTTTGGTGGTTCCCGTTCTCTGTCCTCAGGAAATCTGTGGCTATCCAGAGCCCAATATGATGAAGAGATTTTGACTTTTGCCACTGGGGAAACATCAAGGTTGAACTCAAACATGAAGTATAAATGTAACATACTTTTGATTTGGACCCAAGTTTTGTAGCCCTGACAAAGTTCAAATGAGGCAGATCTTCTTCAGGGACATATAATCAACCAGGCAAGCACCTCTGTCTGCTCACTTGACCCTGCCTAGGGAGAAGTCTGGTTGGTTTGAATTACGCTGCGGGAGCAGTTCCTAATCACCAGTGACTACAGAAATACGGATGGTATTTTGATCAGCTGACGCATACACAGAACATCCCAAGGAGTCCTCGGGAAATACCTTCCACCAACTAAAGGGCACGTCTAAAATGTCTGTCACAAGGTTGTCCAGAACCAGTGGCTTTTACGCTTGTTCACTGTCATTTAGCTGTTACTAACTACATTTTGGGCCAAATAGCTTCCTCCACTGTAGGAAATAAAGTCACACTGAGCAGCAGGCTCTGAAGAAAGTGTCATACAGCCGACAGCAGGCAGATATAAACATGACATTGGATGCCCTTTTCCTCAAAGACACTAACTACATTTTGGGCCAAATAGCTTAGAGAAGGCACTGCAGGAAATAAAGTCGCACTGAGCAGCAGGCTCTGAAGAAAGCGTCATACAGCTGACAGTGGGCAGATACAAACATGACATTGGATACCCTTTTCCTCAAAGATATCCTCTGGCTACGCCTAAACCGTGGGACCCAGAGATGCATCCCTGCTGCTTGGCCCCGGCACATGCTCTGACTCCTCCCCAGGGCTGCAGGATGGCACTGACTGGCCTGCTCCGTGTGTCCATGGGAAGGGTGCCGGGTGCTATAGTGTGCTGAGCCTGTGCCAGCTCCTGCTCCCGCTCCAGGTCTGGGCAGCTCCTGCTCCAGCAGCAGGCTCTGGAACTGGGTCCATGCTGCGGAGCACTCCAGCTCTGAAGCCTAAATACAACCCACCTCAGAGACGGGCAAAGCAAGTATCTGTGGCTGTCAGGACACGTGCCAGAAGGAACTAAAATGAACCATAATCAGCCATTGTAAATCTCAAAATAACAATAATATAAAAACCTGCATGATACGATGATCACAGCATGCTCATGCCTTCCTCTCAAATTCCCTGTCAATCCGTTCCTGCAGAGCTGCTACTCTTCCCTTTTCCTCCTTAGCGCTGTTGAAATGACAGTTGAAGTCTATTTGCAGCAGAGGGTTACAAAGGGAAAAAAAAAAAAAAAAAAGAAAGCATGACTTATAGCATTTCCTCAAATGCAGAAAGGGGGA